GGTAGACAGGGGTCGCCAGTGTTCAGAGGAGACTAGGAAACATTGCTCTGACATTTTCTTGTGCTGGGAGTTTGAAGAGAGCATGATGCTTACCGTGATATTTACCTTCCTGAGTAAAAGAAGGTTATCTTAGCTCTGCATATGAGAGACAAAGAGAGAAAAGCTATCAGAGATTAGCATTTTTGTGACGTTTCTTGCAGATTTGTTTAAGTTCAGGGTCCAGCATTTATGAGATATCTAATTTTTCAGCCTATGCAAAACCGAATATCATTTCATTTCGAACCAAGTTGTCAAAATGTTATGGATGGCAGGTACTTGCTTATTTGTATATATATATATGAAGAAATATATTCAATACATTCACATTTGTAAGCTTCCTAAAAGACATTCATCCTAAAAAACTGTTTAAACTCTGGTATTGTAAAGATAAAATTTGGAGAAAAATGCATGAAAATGTCAGGCTTGTTATTTTTATTTTTTTACATTTGTTTTTTCTCAAATTTTGGCAACAGCATGTATTAATTTTTGTAATCAGAATAAAAGAAAGACTTTTTAATTACTGTAGTAGATAATTTAGGGTTACCAGAGATGTCTACTATTGTAGTCTTTTACTTCCCCTAATTTAGTATATCTCCATATCTTCTGTATAGTATCTCTAGTAAAAAGACCCTGGATAATCACTGACAGATTATTGCTGATAGATAAAAAAATATTATTTTAATTACAAAACTTCATATAGCTATATTAGAATTTACAACTGTAAAAGAGCTTATGAATGGACTATGTAACCATGGAAATGCATACTTTAAGTATTGCATGCACCCAAAATAGATTTCAGGAAAATCTTAGTAAAGATGGCATTTAATAGCATTAAGTTAACATTTAATCAGAATCACAGAAATGCTAAAACTTATATAAGATCTACAAAATAAAAAGAAGTGTGAGACATGAAATGCTTAGGTTAGTTTACCACGAAGATAGGAGAAACAGAAACATTTTGTTAGAATTGAGCTTATGAGTGAAGTTATGGGTGGCTGATTCTTATTGACTATTGCAGATTGCAGAAAATATTTCTCAAAAATGTTTACTTGATCCAGACTATATCATTATACTGAGAAACGGTTGCTGCCCAAAGCTTGGGTGATATCATAAACAACCTACTTTTATGGCAGTCGGCGTGGGCAATCAGTGAGGGCTGAGTGGAAGCCAGATGAAAAGATAACAGTGTGGTACAGAAGGACCCACACAGGCTGGAAGGCGGATCTGGATTCCTGTCCTGGCTCAGCTACATACTAGCTTTGAGGCCTTGGCCAAATCACTCCATCTCTGAGCCTCAGCGTCCTGAGCTACCCAGCAAAGATAATTTGTATCCCACAGAGCTCTCATGCAATCAAATAAGGAAAAACATGTGAAACACCTAACAGAGTGCCCAGCACATAGTAGCTTCCCCAGATAATTTAGTTCTCTTCGTTGTGAGACAGGCCTGGAGCCAACACCTCCTCATCTGAAGACATCTGGTAGTTTCACCGCTTAGAATCCAGCCAGAGAAGATCCTGTGACTTCTAATACTTTTTACTCTGTTTATTGTATTCTATATTTAAAAAAGAAAAGAAGTGAGCCAAAATTGGGTTTTCTTAATAATGTTAGTGTTGCTTGCTGTACTACTACCTGTGTTTCATTTATTTATGCCTGGTCTTATAACAGAAGTTAATAAAAGATTGTTCTCAAGAATTATTTGTTAGAAAAGCTACAATTTTATGTTTCATTGGTGAAATAAAATGATAAAAGAAACAAAGAGAAATATCAAAAAAATTTCTACAGCAAACCATCAAGAAAAACAGAGGTTACCCCTTATGCTAATTTTGTTTTTAAAACAAAAATATCTTAAGAAAGTCAACAAGAAAGTGGGGAAAGGTGATTTTGAAGCATTATTTGAAAAGAAATAGGCTGAAATAATTGCTAGAGGGTGTCAACTTGTAAAGTCCCACTATTCTTTTCTGCTGCTAAGAATGACATAAAGCTTAATGTAATCTAAATCCACTTATATGCTTGTGTGTATGTTCAGTGAATATTTTATTTTGGCTGTCTTCAGGTCATTTCAGATAATAGATTAATATTTATTCTTCAATGTGGTTATGTTTAGAAATTGAGCTTGAAGTCTGGATAATTATGCACATATAGTTCTTACAACGTTTTAAGCCATCGACTTCAAAAAAGGAAAACACCTGTATGTTATATTACCGTCAGCCCTGTAGAGTCGCTGACAAGCAAAGTTGTATAGTTTTCTGAATTGCCAAATCAATTATCAGCCGGCTTCTGAATTTTAGAAATGTTATCCCAGAAGATAAATGGACAAGTCAGAAGTAACACAGCTTGGTTTTAAGATACCAGGTGGAAGTGGCAATATGATCCGGGGGAAATCTTGCTTTGATGTATGAGCGTATTCCCTTGATTTGGCAGTGGCTTTAGACACTGTCTCTGGGACCATGGAGATGTCGTTGTGGCAGACGTTCCTGCTCTATTCTCGGACCGCACCACACTTGTAAAAGTGAGGCTTATGGGGTAATAACTCACAAGCCAAAGGCTGTAAAGAAAAAACTTTGCTAGCAGGCACTAACATGGGTGTCATGACTCTTTTCAGGTAGTAGGTGTAACCTTGAAGAAAAAGTGGCACTGTCTTCAAAAAAGTGACCTGACCCTGGCTTTGGTGGGTTTTTCTGCAAGAAATAAAAAGCACCGCATGTGTTAATTATACATCCTTTCTAGCTGACCACTGCTTTGTTCTAGAGTTCAGCATGAAAGGACTAATTTTTGTTTTGTTTTGTTTTTGTTTTAGTAAAATGGCATGTCCGTTGCTAATTCTAGCTATTATAGTTGCACATGTGAAAAATATCTATATGTAGTTTATGGATTGGTAGCATTTCAAATAAATAGTATATTGGCATATTTACCTGAAATTTTTTGAGATGCTTATCAATTGACATTTTTTCTTAGCTCAAGAAAAGAGTCTGAATTATTATTTTTTTAAAAAATTACACCTATAACATTAGATTTATTTGTTTAAATATATTAGGAATTTAAATATAAGCATGCTACTTCGTTTATTGCTATATTATTAGAACTTCTTGGAGCATGGAAAGAATTTTTCACAAATGATTTTGCTCTTTTGAAAAAATAAGCTACAAAAATATTTGTTAAACTATATTTAATCTGTAAATGAGCATAGTTTATAAAAGTATACTAAGTTTATAGTGTGTAATGTTTCATCCAAATAATTTTTATATTTTGAAAAAATGTAAAATAGCTTAATAGTGCCATAATAAATCTTTTCCCAGAATTGAAAATTGTATGCATCTCTATTTTAGGAAGTTTACATTGCATCATTAAAGAAAATACTTGGGATCATTATGCACCCCAATTTTTTATGCAGCGAATCATTGTTTTCCTTTATTCTTCCAGAGTCAGTTATTTGAAGGATTGTGGCCATATAAACTTTTCAGAACATATATGATAATTACTGTTATACCTGATGAATAAAATCTCTAGTAGTTGATATTCCATCGTGAAAATAACACATTATCATTCAATAATGCTAGTTCGTAAGTCAAAACAAACCAAAGAAATAAAACTTCCAGCATTGCAGAGATTCACACATTTTAAAATCTAGTAACTCTAATGTTTTTCTTTGCTTTTATAAATAAAAGCTGCTACTTATTACATTTTAGAGAGGCAATGCCTGAGAAAATGAACAATGTTTTGCTTCCTAGAGTAAACCTACCTTCGAAATACTTAAAGCCCTGTGCAAGCCCATAATAATAATGTAATGCTATCCTTTTTTGTTGCATAGAAACTATCAAGATTTATTAACCTCTGGAGTTAATATTGACCCCAGCTCTAAATTCTCTTTGAGACACCAGACCCCTGTATGTCCATTTTTGTTTCTTTGCTTATATCTCTGTATGCTACATCTGTATTTTAAGTACATTTTCAACACAGTTATTCTTGTGTGCTCTTAGTATAAAATTATTTTCTCCAGGAAGGCTCTGCCCAGAGACCTAAGAAAATGAAAATTTTTGCTTTTAATGTGTTTAAAGATTTAATTTTTACATAGTATAAGATGTTTCTAATTGGATTGGGAAAGTGATTTTTTCCATTATGCCATATCTACTCTCAAAAACTTAATGATTTGGTAAACCAAAAAGACAGAAAGCCATATCCCTTTATAGTCCATAATTCTGCTTATATGAGACAAAAAATGTAGAGAGATGTAGATGTCTATAACTATATTTATATCTGCATCTATCAGTGCCTCACTTATTAATCATCCTTTATTTACATCTGGATTTACCAAATTCTCCAATTAAAAGGCATTCTAAAATTGTATTAACATTTTTGGGTCTCAAAAACATTGAGAATTTCAAGTTTTTTTCATAGCATCTCCACAAAATAAACAAGCTGGGTGACTTCCTGTGATGGTAGGCCACTGAAGAATTTTTGCAGGTTTTATGACACTTTTATTCTTTTTATGCCCAATTCCCAGACTCCAGAGACTACCCATCAAGTCTTCTGTGGGAGTCAAACCTTGATCTTAATCCCTGTCCCAGATTCTGTCTGAAAACGTTTAGGGATTATATAGGAATAATTTGTAAATGAGCATAACAGACAATCCATAATGTTTCTCAATTGATAAAAACTATTAAAAAAAATATGTTCATGTCACATAGATTGCCTTAAAATATATTATACACATAAAATACTATGTTAAAATTAAATATAATATGTCAGCTGTAAAGGTGAAAAAGTAGCTAACTAAAAGTTCACAAATAACCTTTTTTCAGATTTTGTGTGTTTTCTCCTCAGCCAAAAGCCTCAAGATGCACTTGCAGCAGCCTACCTCTTCATTTATGTTGGATTGCTCTTTAAACATTAGAATATCTTGTAATAAATAATAAGTTAAAGATTTCTCCTGACACAAGTCATTGTTGATTTCACTGTTATAGGGAAAAGGCTCTAGGGCGGCAGATAAGGCTGTTGCCATGGTGATGAAGGAGATACCGAGGGAGGAGTCTGCTGAAGAAAAGCCCCTCCTTACTATGACATCACAGGTGGGCAGACCCATAGGGTTCCTGTAGGAAGCTGACATATGTTAATATATCAGACATTGTGATTTTTAACTAGAAAAAAAAAACATTAACTTGAACCAATTTTTTAAAAAACACAGTTTCAATGAAACAATTATAGAATATAAAATGAAAACCAAAATTGCTAACAAAAAAAAGGAAAATTCCATCATTTAGTTATTTGTTTGTGATATTAATTTTCATTACTCAACTTTAGTTTAAAAAAAATGTATGTGCAAGGAAAACATGTTGCTTCTTTATAAAGGAGTCTTGTTAACAACTTTGGTAGAGAAATAACAATTAAGCTAATGGTACATTTGAAAAACAACAACCAAAAAAATCAAATTCCTATGAATAAGTACAAGTTATATTGTATACATATGTCAGTTTACCAGTAGAATATCTAAATTTTCTTAAATGTTAAATATATTTATGTTGTGACTATGCATACTACATATTTGTCTATACATATTTATGTGGATAACTAATTTACAGGAATGAGCCAGAAGTCCCTGAGTCCCCCTGCAGAAAATGGCATCTGTGACCCCTCTTATACTTAGTTACCTTGACAACAAAAATATCAACTCTATTATAAACACATGAGGGCCATTTTCGGCATTTATTATAACAAATATAGAAAAAAAGTTTGCATTTATATGCAAAGACATGCTGAAACTGTGAATCCTATATGTCCTCAGGGACTTTTGAAACACCCTGTAAAATCCACATAAATATGTATAATATATTCATCACCACTCTGTGGATCTATCAGTTTTAAATTCTTAAATGAAAAATATTTTTACTTGCATTTATTTTATAATTCAGATTAGATTGTTATCTTAAACATTTCTTTTTTCCATAATTCAATAGTAAATGCAGTGATTCAGTTCCAATTATATGAACATGTCTAGAATTAGAAAAATGTCCATTTACAGTCCTCATGAAAGGCATTTATATCAAAAGCTAAATTATGGCAACTTATTTTCAGAATATCATCAGATCACATCTCCAGCTGCTGCCACCATGTGTGGTTTTATTTTACTCTAAATACTGTGTTGTAAGTAATGAAAATTATAGCAACATATAACATCAAAAATGAATATTTAAAAAGTTATTAATGATTCTCAGGATTTGGAGATAAATTTTATGAGTTTTTATCCATAAGGAAGAGATGCTGCTTCCCAATTACACATAGTAGTAGTTGGAAGGAAATTTGCTTGTTATTTATCAAGTTCGCCATTCTTTACGTAATTTACGCAGCAAAACATATACAGTTTTACATTGATCTCCTGCCCTTTGTAGAATTCATATCCAAAATACTCATTCCACAGTTTCTCAGATGAATGTTAAGGAAAATGAGACGCACTTAAAGTTCTCTGCTAAGGACAGAGCCATATACATCAGTGGATAAGACCTATCCAGATTTCTGATTGGCATAGTTGTGCTACAACATATCATTTTAGGGCATCACAATTTAGCACAGGCTCCAGTCTCCAAAATTCTTTATCCCCAAAACTATGCATTGCTACATGCTTACCAGTAATCCTTTTCAAATGTCCAAAATTATCATTATCACCTAAACTTGAATTTAAAATTTAATGCAAAATAATATTTTTGATTTTTTAATTTAGAAAAGAAATTGTGATTATTACCATTTTCTCATATTCAGAACATTTGTCTGTAGCAAGCTTCTCCTTTAATCCCTGTCTAATGTTACATTAACTGTTCTTGAGGTATTAGTTATAATTTTACTGCATGAAGATTACATAATGCTTTCTATGATGCATCAGATTCTTGTTGCATAGTTTATGAATCAGCAAACAGAGTTCTGATTCATAAAATGTAATGCACCTGTTGTGTTGATAATTTTACAGAATTAATTCAGTGACAGCTCTGATACAATTATTTCTCAGTCATATGCAGTTTTATTAGTTGATATACTTTTTCCACTATACACAAATGGCTTCTTCCCTGCTATGCACCAGTGGCGTGCACAAGCCAAAAAAGCAGCAGAATGATCTGAAAAAGTGAGTACTTCTCATGGCAACCACAGCATCCAATCTGTGTACCATACCACATTCTTACTCGTGGTCCTGTGTGAATGTGTTAGTGTCTTGAAACGTGTTTGTCCCACTGTCCCCTGTAAAGCCCCTTATGACATAGTGCTACATACTGCTGAATACATTGACTCATCTTCATCACTGGTATGTCAATGCCAGTTGCTCATTCATAGATTCCAGATATGTCTGAAGCTAATTGCTGCTTTCTCAATAATGTCCTTGGGACAATCATAATGGATAAAATACAGAACAAGCCCTTGAAACACTGAGTCTCTAATTTGTTTAGCAACTGTTCATTTAACAGATTGTAAGCAGAGAATAGTTTACATTGAAGCATTTTTTGTATTATGTGATTATTACGATCACTTTCAGAGGGATTTAGCCAAATATACTCCAGTGAAGTCATTTATAGTACATTGAACAAATTGAACAAAACAGAAGAGTTGGCCAGTTGACCTGAGCTCAGAGAATGCTGGACTCCCAAGAATTGCTCTTTTTGTTTAACCTAATTATTAATTCTGTATTGAAACAATATGTCGAGCACTTCATCGAAGCTCAAGTTCATGCTGTCCTAAACTAATGATTTAAGTCAAACAGTATGTAAACAAGTGTGTATTAATGAAAGGATTGAAAGGAAGATAAGTTTTGTGAATTATCAAGTCTTTGAGGAAAAAGTGTCTCTAGACCTGTGCTGTTCAATACGGTTGCCACCAGACTCTGGTGGCTGTTGAGCTCACTTTGTCACTACCCCAAACTGAGATGTGCTATAAGTAGAACATACAGACCAGATTTTGAAGATTTAATCCAAAGAAAAATAATGTAAACTAGATTATTAATAATTTTTATATTGATTACATGTTTAAATGATAATACTTTGGACATATTGGGCTAAATAAAATGTACTATTAAAATTATTTTCACCTGTTTCTTTTCACTTTTTTAAGTAGCTACTAGAAAATTTTAAATTACCTGGCTCTCCTTATATTTCTATTGAACAGCACTGCCCTAGACTATAATAGTATAAATTAACTCAATTTGAGGGTAGAAGGGAAAACTGTGCCAAAGATCAATTATAGTATAGAAAAAAAAAGTTATTCTGTATGAGAATGAAATGACTTTAGCAAATATTTTTCTCTCATAAAGAACATTCAGAAATTTTTATTTTAACCACATCTCCTGGTACTTTTTTTTAGCAAGGTATATCCCATTCATTTTTTGTTATAGAGCACAGTGTCTTAAAACTATGAGTTCCAAACCTATTCTTGTTAAGGGAATTTTTTTTAGTTTTTTTATTTTTGCAAACCTAGTCTTTGTTTCTCTATCTGTCCCTGCCCCTTATACCTCGATATTGATTTAATTTTTGTGTCTGATATAGAAAAAAAGAGTAATGTCCTTGATTGGAAAAACATTCTCAAGGCTACTAAATATAGCATCGTTTCGGTTTCTATTACTAACCTGAAACAATTACTTTATGTTCTCCTGCCTGTCCTAGTATTACTACTACCCAACCTATAAACAGTAATATCTGTTAACTTTCCCATGAATAGATTTGCATTTTATAAATCTAACTATCTTGTCAGTTTGTCTATATTTAGACTAGTCAAAGAGTTGAAAGTTATCACATAGTTATCCTTTACAAGAAGATCAATATACTGTATAGGAAACGGAGTAAAGGGGGGTGGGTACAGAACTTAGTACTATTAACTTATAAGAAATTAATTCTTTCCAGTGTCAAAGTAACCATGACAAAGTTCCCAAAGTTTGAATACTTAAGGAATGCAGAGTAAAGATTTAGCAGTTGTCTTGTCTTTTCAATGGCTTGAGTCAATTAACTTAGTTTTGATATGGTCACTATTTTGATGGGCATTACACAAATTTCTAAACTTGAATAAGACTAATAAAGCCATAAACAAATAGCTCAATTACAAGATTATAAACAAAACTACTTAACAAATGATGCATGTTTTGAATCAGCAGTGGCACAAAATAAACATATTTTCAAATGCATAAAAAGCATATTTGTGTTTTTATTTATACAGAAACAAAACCATCTTAATTTTTTCTATTATGTAGATGAGGTAAAAACATGATATATTATTATAAATTTTTTAAATCAACATTATAAATATATTTGTCAGCTTTTTTTTAACTTTTTGCTTCAATGTTTTAACTGTTAAAATTATTCTTTAAGTACTAAAATGTTTAAAAATAAAGAGAGTATTTTACTTTAAACTAAAACAATCATCCATCTGAAGTGTAAAATTATGGAACAATGGGCTATTATCCTTTACAGACCTTGTTTTATTGCCTAAAATGTATTTTGGTTTAGAGTTAATTCTTAGTGATATAAGTTATCAAAAATCTGTAGCTCTATATTTTTTAATGTAGCACCTAAACAATATATTGGTTAAAAATTAACTTAGATTTAAGTCACAAAACAAGCTATTTAAACATATACTGGAGCTTAAGTAACAAGAAGTATTTAAAAGAAAAATACTCAGTCTACAGCCATGCCACCCTGAATGTGCCTGATCTTGTCTGATCTCGGAAGCTAAGCAGGGTCGGGCCTGGTTAGTATTTGTTTGGATGGGAGACCACCTAGGAAGACCAAGTGCTGTATGCGTAAAAAGTAAAAAAAATAAGGGATTGTAAGCTGACAAGATCCTTGCAATCTGTGAGGTCAACCAAGGTCTCCTAAGAAAATAAAAATAAAAATAATAAAATAAAAGCAAAATACTCTCCTTTCATCTTGGTTAAATATTCCTCTGTATCTTAGATCATATAATTTAATTTTTTAACATTGAAATTAGAGAGATTCAAGCTGAACTAAGGCAAATGCATTTTTAGACAAAATTTTAAAATAGACAATGATTCATTAAAGCTGGATGATATTGTCTACATTTTGTTCAACACAAAATTCAGTATTATATAAAATAAGAACCAGTTTGGTCCTGTGGTGGCTAATATTAGCTGCATCAGCTGACCAGTCTAAGTCATAAGTAAATCGAAGGCATTTGACTGAATATTTTATTACAACCTATGACTACAAGGAAGGCATAAAGGTCCAATAGTCTTTTGAATTCTGCGTGACAAGTAGCCCCTAAACACAAGTTCTCACCTGTCTTCTTCTGCTGTTTCCTTTTGTTTCCATGTCCAATGACCATGAAAGGGTTTTCTCTCAAAATCTCCAAACTTGAATATCTGATTTAAAATCCCTGAATGAGGTAGTAGTGTTATGCCTTGAAGTGCCTCCCATTTGCATTGGTCCATGTCCTTCCAGGAATGATGTGGAACAGGCCTATACCATTGTTTCAATTTTTCTCATTAGGCATGCACTCTACATTCTTGACTTTTTGGTAGAAGCCTTACATTAGGAAATATTTATTTAGATATTATTTAGGAACTATTTCTCTAGGTTTCCAAACATTTAAATGATGTGACACTTGGGGGAAATGAATTTAGATTTGAGGTTTAAAATCTGTCAGGAAATTGGTTAACATTTCTGAGGACCACTGGCCTCTCTATGAGTTGATCAAACCCAGTATGAAATTGAGGCTTCCCGTGCAATCATTCTTTTGTACAATTCATCATTCAGTTAGACTGTATAAAATCAGTCAACATTTATTAAACTGCTACTGTGAGATAGAAAAATTAATTGGATGAGGTCTCTACTCTCAAAGAGATCATAGTCTAGTAGGAGGACAACAGGTAAAACTAAGGTTACAAAACTGGGTAAAGCATGGGAACGTGGAGATGCTGTAAGAAGGCACTTCCTTCCTGGTGCTGAAGAAGGTCCCTAGACACTGTATCAGTAGAATGGGGTCCCGAAAGGAAAATAAGCATGTATCACCATTAGAAAGGCCTTTGAACTGATCTAACTATTGAGAAGAGGAAAAAGGAGGATAAGAAATGAAATTTTAAAATGTAAACAAAGTGAGACAAATGCCTTAGCAACTGTTTAAGTGGGTCATTTTAACTCAGTTATGATAAATCTGGGCCAAAACTGCAATAACTCCAACTCAGTTATTTGAAAAAATATTAGAAACTTTTTGACTCACCTTTTATTATTTTTATAACAGCAATGTACTCTGTATTCAAAAGATAAAATGAGGTAAGTTCATAGAGTATTTTCAAACCAAAGGAAGTAATTTCGAGAGAAAAATCAATAAGCAGTATCCTACCAATGAATAAGAAGAGAATAAATGGCATATAATTTGGAAGTAAAGCTCAGGAAAACTCTTGGGAGATTCAGTTCAGTCTGCAACTTTCCTTTATTACCTAAAAGATTTACTTATTCTCAAGTCACCATAGGAAAACCATAAACTTGTTTGAAAATGAGGAGGGGGGCATGTGAAAAGCTATTCTTATCTATACAAATAAAAATAAAATGAGCGTGGCTAAATTAATGTTCCCTAAATTCAGCTGACTGAAGATATACAATTCAAAATTGGACTATTTGAGATATATCTTTTTATACCTTCGGTTTCTGCAAAGTCATTGTCCTATTTGGTAGCCATTTATTGAGCTCCTCTAATATGAAGACATATTAGTTGTGAAGGATATAAATATGAGTTCAAAGCTGTGAAGGATATAAATATGAGTAAATCATAGCCTCTGACCTCAGAGCTTATAGAAAAGATTTCTTTATACTATCTCTCATTTCATCTTCCCTATCTCAATCATAACCAAAAAACTTTCAGTTCCCAAATTACCTTTTCATGCTCTCTGAAATCCTGCCCTTTATCTTCTTCACTTCTGAGACCTACCACTATTCCCTACTCCAATCCCAGCATTTTCCAACAGCTTAACTGTGCTTCAGAAAGTAGTTTATTTCTTCTTTGATTGGTATCTATCTATAAGAAAGCCACAGAAGCAGCAGAGTTATGGGAACTGCGCAGACATAACATCTCCATCAGTCCAAGTGTGACGAATGGTCAAAAACAAGACAGTCAATTTGGAAGAGACACAGACCTTAAGAGGGAGAGGATTAGGAGAAGACTGAAAAAGCCATGCCTTAGTCCCGAGTTCCGTAGGGTTTCTTGGAACAACCTCCTCTTTGGTGTTCCTTTCCTCCTGTGCTGAGAAAATCTGAGAATGCTAGAGGTGCTTTCTCCAGAAAATAAGTCTGAAGTCTGAATGAGGAGAGAGACTCAAAAAAAAAAAAAAAAAAATTCTATTACTTTTGATAAAGTAGTCTTTATCAGGACAGGCCTGTCAATTAGTTGTGGTTTTTTTCCTTTGTTTTTCCATTGAGATGTTTTTTGTAGATAAAAATCTTAACTTTCTAGAATTCTTTCATTAAATTTAGATGATAACTTTTCAATGTTTACAACTAAAAGTATGTACAGAAATCTGGTCTGGTCTTCTCAAACTGTAGGTAATTTATGCCTGTTCCACACATCTGTTCACAGAGCTGTGATTTAAGAATACATTTTTAGTTCTTTTTTTAACAAAGGAATTTAATTGTATCCAAAGTAAAGAAAAAAGTTTATGGGACTTTCGTGGACTAATTTATACTTATCTTTACATAATACTTGATCTTAAAATCATGACTAAGAGAATAACTAAATTATTCTTAGTTATCTGTCAATAGAACCAGACTTCCTCAGAGAAATAATGGCTATCAAAAAGATAGTTAAGACATCACACATACATATATGTCCTTTAAAGATGCAGTTATTTTGGTCATATTTAGTCTTTGCACCTTATACACTTTAACCAACACATCTATGAGACCTGGAACCAGAAACCAAGTAATCAAAATGCACTGCTTAGAAAATGCAAGCCTGTTACGCTAACTTCTATGAGTACAGTGTGGTGCCATATTTGATAGTGACCTTCATCCTCCATGAATGTTTATAGTACAGCAGAATCCAGATCTCATCTGGCATGAGAATGACACAGCCTTGGGGTAAGCACTGTTGCTAAGTCAGGACCACATCACTATAGTAATAATCACACTAGATGGGTCCATTACTCTAAAAACATAGGGTTAAAAGGCAAGTTCTATGAAGAAATATACATTAATGTATGAGTCCTTTGGTTACATACACAAAGTTTTTACATGAACTAACTATAAATGAAATACAAGTCTTAAAAAATTAATCACATTTTCAGAAAAAGTGTATGATGACTTTTATGGACTCAGAAGAGCTCACAGAATCACTGATGTTTAATCATTTCTTTATTTTCTAGTATACTACATTCTGTACCAGTGCTCTCAACTACATTTCCAGATAATAAAATTTAATTTTATTTCAGAAAATATAATAAATCACTCCTCAACTCAAATAGACCATGACATTTAGAAAAATTCAAATATATTTTATTCCAGAAACAAGAAAGACTCATAGTCCCTCAACATTAAAAAGTATTTTAATATAAATAGGATGAGTGAGACCCAATAATGTTCAAATTCTGAAAACAAAATGCAAAGGGACTCAGACTTTCACTCACAGGTAAAGGGAGCATCCCCCCCGAAAAGGTGAAGATCAAAATAGACCTTGAATAATTTGACTTAAAAACTGAAGAAATTTCTATCACTGTAACTTAAATACTAAAAGAAAATGAGCATTCTCAATGTTCATTCCTCTATAACATCTACAAATTAATATGTGTGAAAATCAAATGACCAATTCTATGTCAAAATCTTAAATTCTAGCAAAGATCTGAGGTTTATCCATGTTTAGGTAATAGGAAGAACATGCAAAAGTACCAAATGTGCCTCTGGTTTTCAGTCCCCAAATAATCACTAAATGTTTCCATATTCCTCCTTCAGCAATAATAGCTTTGCATTTTTTCTTCCCACATTTCTAATTATTTAGGTATTTTGCCATCTTCCATAAGCTTTAAGCTATTATACCACTGACACTGTGTTAAAGAAATAATGAAGTTAAAGTGATTAGTCACATAAAATATTTTGATTTGATAACACTCCAAAACACTTTGTTATTTTATATGTCTCTTAAAATACAGCCTTGCAAATAAGTATTTAAAATTCTAGAGATTTTTATGCATGTCTTTTTCTTATAAGTAGAAAATTAGATGGCCATGCCCATTTTAAGGAAGGCCAATGTAAAAATTCATGAAAACTATGACAGATAATTTAAGAATTAACCACTTGTGTATCATAAGTGTACTTTTTCCCTTAATAATAGAAACAGGACTTAAGAAAGTTGAAATTCAAGAGGTACAGAATAACCGAAAGTAAATAATTGGCTGCCACTGATAATTAGAGACCTACTAAAAATCAAACTGAAAGATTTCTGAAATTAGAGAACAAGCCAATGGGAAAATGTAATTGAATTTATAGAAATCTATTTTACATATAGATTTTCTCAAACATATCTACTGGATATGCAGTTAATATAACAGTTAATATAGCAATATTTTGTACTCTATCAAAAAACTATTTGTTATGCATTACAAAAGCATTCCAAGAAAACGTAAAAAAGGGTGTGTGTCGGTAGATAACTTGAGCTTTTAAAGAGAGAAAAGAGAGCATTTATCCCCATACACGGACCTGTGTGTGTGTACTTACCACATAACACTATGCGATAAGTATTGTCCAAGGTCTCAGTATTGTCCAAGTAAAGAATGGGATTGGCCTTTAGGAACATTCAATAGGTGTCATTTTCTACATATTGAAATTAGAAAATACTTCTAAAACTGTTGTAGGAGAAAAAAAAGGCTTGAGCTTTAAAAATTAAAGTTGGCTGCATCGAAAATATGTTGACAGTGCTAAAAGCCTCCTTCCCCATCCCTCAGTATTTTTTTTCTTCCTTACCCCTACCCTATTATTTATTGATTGATTGATTTTTTTTTGTAGGCTTGCTATTTTCATTTTGTTGCAAGGCTGCATTTTAATTCTTCTGATTCTGCAGTCTAACAAAGCCTTTGACACCTTTGTTCATTTGTTCTCAGCTGGTGAATGAACAGCAAGAAAGCAGACCCCTCCTGAGTCCCTCCATCGATGACTTTCTCTGTGAAACCAAATCGGAGGCAATAGCAAGGCCAGTAACGTCCAACACAGCTGGTAATTCTTTCATTTTTAACTAATCCTCGAGTAGAGTTAATTTTTACTACAGTAAAATGCATATTTCTTTCTACAATGCATTTTAAGTGGAGAGTAATGTTTGCGACCAAATAAAACTTTAGAACATATTATTCAATGTGAGCCAATAAATCACTTTACATTATACTGTAAGAACTACGATATATATTACCCAGCCAATTTTGCTGAACATTAGCATACCACTATTGTCAATGAATCACTTTTCTATGCATATTTTCATATTTACATCTTCTCATCTCAAGTCACATCACATTAGGAAATCTTCAAAACAAAAGCATCAGTTTCAGTGTAAGGTTTTTCAAGTTCTGATTGGGAATACTTTGTATGACAAAAGTCTGGTAAAGTAAAAATGAAGGCAGCCCCTTCAAGTAGATTAAAATGACAATTAAAATGTCCTAGAGCCTTGGGATATTATAGAGCTAATTTCATTTTTCTGTCATGTAATTGTGTTACTTGCTTCCTCTTGCAACAATTTATTTCAACATTCTGGAATTAAACATATTCAAACAGTAAACGATCATCTGTATAAAGGCTAATAAATATTCATCCAATGAGTGAATGCAGGATGCCACTGGTATGAATGACCCTCTGCACTTTCCAATTCTCACTGATACTAAAGCTAAGTCACTTAGGTAGGGCCCACCCAGAGGGAGCAACATAAGATTTGACTCAAAAGCTAATTTTCACCTCCTATATCAGAGACAGCTTTTCTGCATTGATTTTATTCAGTCAACATTCACATTCAAAGGCATGTTGTTCGGATAAGAATGAAAAAATGATTTTCAGAATCAGAGAACAAAGGTTATACTGGATTGAGGAGAGAAATTAACGGAGAAAGGAGATGATAATCACATACCGTCTTGTTAACTTCGTTCCATTTCCCCATCATGTCCTCAGCTTGCTGTTTGTTGCCTGGCACATTTTTGTTATACTTTTAAGTAAGTGAAGCAAATCACAGGTGAAGGAAATTGTGACTTTTAAAAAAATGCTAAAAATTACAACAAGAGTAACTGATACAAGATAGAGGCACTTTCCTGTGGGAATATAGTCTGCAGTCTCTGGGGTCAAACTTTGTGATTTCAAACCTTAGCTCTGCCACTTAGAAGCTCTGTGTCCTTGGGCAAATTGCTTACCTAGTCAGTTTCCTTATCTATCTAATAATAGTAATAAGAGTAATAGTAATAATAATAGTAAGATTTATATCTCATAGATTACTTAAGAAGATTAAATGAAACAATCTAGGTAAGTGCTTAACACCATATAAACCTCCACAGGTGTTACCATTACTGTTAGCAACCAAGTGAAAAACAGTATACCCAACACTTCCCTTTTCAAGTGCATTAACTTTGTATCACACCAAAGCCATCGTTTTCTAAATACAGCTATCACTTTGAGTAATCAAACAAATAAAATTGTTCTTGTTACATTTTAGTCAGAGAATTAAGCAAATTTAGATACTATTAGATCAGATTCATCCTCTTTATCTATGAAACTGGGACTCACCCCTTTAAAACTGGAGAGCTACCCACAGAAGAATACAGGGGAGCCTTGTGCTTTTAATTGCAGAAAAAATCCGTGAGAACTGGATGCCTTGAGAAGTTTCCACTGTTCTAGGAAAAGCTATACAGCATAGAATTATCAGATCTTGATTCCAGTACCCTCTGAACTTCCCAGTTCTAAATGATGCTAAAACCGAGTCGCTTGGGAAGGCCCACCAGAGAGAGTAACGTTAATATTTGACTCAAAAGCTACTTTCACCTTGGCTTTTCTAACATGAAAACTGGAGAACTACATGCCAGAAGAAAGCAGAAAGAACTGTGACATATTGGAGGAAAAAAATATGTAATTTCTTGCGATCCCAATACCTACATTATTACCTCTGTATCAGTTTCCTAGAAATACTATGGCAAAATACCACAAACTGAGTGGATTAAACAACAGAAATTTATTGTCTCACAATTTTGGAAGCTAAAAGTCCAAAATCAAGGTGTCAGCAGGGCCATTCTCCCTCTGAAGATGCTTGAGAAGAATTTATTCTAGGCCTCTCTCTTAGTTTCTGGTAGTTCTTTGGCTTGTGGCAGCATAAATTCAATCTTCACATGACATTCTTCCTGTGTGTGTGTCTGTCTCTGTATCCAAATTTCTCCTTTTCATAAGGTCATCAGTCATATTGGAGCAGGGGCCTACTCATCTTAACTGATTGTATCTTCGATGACCCTATTTCCAAATGAAGTTACATTCTGAGGTACTGAGAGTTAAGACTTCAATATATGAGGTTGGAGAGGACATAATCCATAACATCCTCCAAAGTAGAGAGTCAGAAAAAAATGGTATTTTGAGGCTGTGCATTTTTCTTTTCTCAGCCTCAGCATTCAGGGCATCTGGGTCACACAGATTTTTATCCTGAAGGAAGATTCTCATTTGATAGTATGTTTTTTAATCTTGAAAGCATATCTCAAGGCAGAAACACTATATTTTTAATCCCTAAAATATGTAGTTCTTTTTAAAAATTATTATAAAACCCACAATTTATATCTCAATTTGCAACATAATTTACATCATGACATATCTTTAAACAGGAAAAGTTTTAGCATTCAAACACCTTGGAAAGAATTCTAATTCGGTCCAATAATTTTATAATTAAGATTTCTGGGCAGAAAATTGAGTTATCATTTTCTGTCCAAATGTCTAATAAAAAATCGTAATTTTTAAGTGGAACATTGTCATTTTATGGAATAGAATGAAATTACATTAAGAAATGAAGACAGTCATTGAGTATTATCTATGACATTCCAGGCATTATGTGCATCTTTACAGTTAAAGAATGGATATTAAACAATCTTGGAGTAAAATATAGAGAAATTCTGCTTCGAGTTTGTACCAAGTCAATCAAGCATAAATTTGAACAACTTTATCTTAAGATGAAAGGAATTTATACTTGGCATTTTCTTCCAATGAAAAAATAAAGCCAGTGTGCCACATCTTGACATTTACTTAAATGTTTAAGGAATGTAGTTCTTATATATATATTACCACAAAGTGAACAATATAGGAAATATTTATCCCTTCCAAAGTCAGTCAAATGATGAGTTTTTTCTCTACTACCCTTAAAAAACATATCAATCATCTGCCTCATAAAAGTTCTAAATTATAATTTTTGTCTTAAGTATTTCAATTATTTTTTTGACTTTGTTTCTACACTAGCATTAATTTTTGATCATTCAGTGATAACTTCAAGCTAATAAAACCCGTGTGCCCCCATCTTGACATTTACTTAAATGTTTAAGGAATGTAGTTCTTATATATATATTACCACAAAGTGAACAATATAGGAAATATTTATCCCTTCCAAAGTCAGTCAAATGATGAGTTTTTTCTCTACTACCCTTAAAAAAACATATCAATCATCTGCCTCATAAAAGTTCTAAATTATAATTTTTGTCTTAAGTATTTCAATTATTTTTTTGACTTTGTTTCTACACTAGCATTAATTTTTGATCATTCAGTGATAACTTCAAGCTAATCAAATAAGGATGTTTTCCCTTTTTTTGCCATTGACATCCTAAATTATTTTTAATTCATCTGTAATCTAGATAGATAGATAATTCCTTGATCTTCTCAAACTATATTAATAGATGGTAGGTAGGCCAAGATTACTGCTAATATCCTTGATTTTAAAATGGCAAATATATATTACACATAGACGCATATATCAAATGCTCTGAAAGTAACTAGACAATAGATATTTTAAGATAGCAATTATATTATAGGACAAATAATTACTAAAAATTTGCAACAATAAATTGTCTGTAATCTAAAAAATCTAATATATATCAAAGTACAAGAAAGATTCTCTTCTAAAGAGCAAGAAAAGCAGGGGTCCTTGAACCTAATTCAATATCTTAACTGCAAAATAAGTGTAATATTTGCAAAATACATATTTATGAAGCCCAAGTAGCCATGAACCAAATGGCATTCCTCTAGAGACAATTTAGGAATTCAAGAAGTAGCTTTAATTACATATTCCAACAAAAGGCAAAAGTTGGTTGAATTATTTAAGTCTAATTTAAGTCTATTTCTCATCATGGCAAAATTCTTCCTAAAAATTCTTTGTTTTATAGGCATTATGTTAAAGAATATTATCTTTTCTGGGATGCCAGGGTAGCTTACAAAACAGAACAGAGATCCCACCAGCCCTTTGTGACACATTCTGTGACTGCAACAGTCAAGGCTGTGCCATGATCTGACCTCTCTAAATGCTTTGTGTAGATTTATTCCTTTAGAGAAATTTCCTAAAAATCTGAGTCTTGTTATACTGTAGTGGTGTGAATGGCATTGTGCTTACCATAGAAGTATCAAATCAGGGCTTCATAGTAGGTGCCATTTTATTCTAACTGTTTTAAACAGCCTCACCTCCCAGGGCCCAAGTAATCTAGTATTCATAAACATCTTCAATTCCCTGTGAGAGCCTTCCAGCTCAATAGGTTGTGATCATCAATCGGGTCTCCTTGAGATAGATGGAAACAAATACTTACATAATATATTCCATCTTCTATCTTCAGGAAATTCCATCTGATGAAATTAAGTTATTCTCAACCCCACCCTACCCCCCAGAAAGTTTCTGAAATTGCCCACTATTTAAATTATGTCTCAAACTACCCAACCTGCCAAATAACTGGGAGCTAAATAAAAAATAATGAAAGCCTCATCAATAGAGTCAGCACATGGCCTTCAAGTCCAAAGAAAGGTATAAAGAGGAATAGGGAAGAACCTGGGCCTGGGAATGACAGAACCTATGTTTGAATCCTGGTGTGGACAAGGTCTTACCAGCTATATTAGTTTCCTATTGCTGTTGGAACAAACTACCACACATTTAGTGGCTTAAGACAACACAAATTTATTATCTTACAAATCTGAAATTCAGCAGTCTTAACATCAAAGTGTAGGCAGGGCTGCATTCCTCCTGGAGGCTCTGGAAGAGAATTCATTTCCTTGTTTACTTTTAGCTTCTGCAGGGTACCTGGAATTCTTTGGCTTGTGGTCCCTTCTTCCACCTCCAAAGCCAACAACAGCAATGTCTAATCAAATCTCTCTCTCTCTCTCTCTCTCTCCACATACACACCACACACACACACACACACACACCTCACACACATTTTCACATACATATTTTCACAACCACTATAATAGGTGTTATCTTAATTTAAACACACAGATTCTGGAATCCAAACCTTCATGTGCCTAAGAGAATCTTTTAAATAGGGTTAAGAAAATTCACAGAGCAGATACCCCCTTCCGAGCCAAGGTATGCTATCTTCGAAGCCCATGTGGAATAGTGAGACCCTTTATTTTTAAGTCTTAAGTACACACACACACACACACACACACACACACACAAACACACACATACACTAAAATCTAATTTGTCTTCTTCCAAAAAGTGAAAGCCTCCATCCATCCTTCTATGCTTTTGAAATCATGTTCCCTCTCAGCTTCAAAGCTTTCCATATAACCCTCAAGCCACCCCCATCAACTGGGTAACAAATAAGGCCCTTTGTGTATGCCAAGCATTTGTTTTGCATTTGCTGGGAAAAGAACAAAGGAAAAGAGAGCTCAAAACAAACAGGAAGCGCTGAGGACAGTTTGGAGGAGGAAGGAACGTTTCAGAGCCAAGTGTGAATTCTCGATTCACTCTTTTAGTAATTTATTTATTCTGAATGGTGAGAAGCAGATATAGAATTAAATTAATACTCACTAGTTATTATTTGTTACAAATGTACTTCCTATATACAAGTAGACAAGTCCTGTATAATTTGCTTCTAAAAGAAGTGTAGGAGCAAATGACTAATTCCTAATTGTTTGTACAATTAGTAAAAAAGACATGTATGGCATTCAGAGACTGTTATCCACTTCCTTCTATTATAAAGAAATCATAGTGGGCCTGGAATCCCTGTCAACGTAACAGTAGCCTGGAAATTTCTGTTTAAATATTCAGATATGAAATGTGTGGCATCCTCGCCTATCTTGGCTGCGTGACATGCTTAAACTGTAGGCATCAAGCCAGGTGGCTTTGCTCTGAAAGCCACTTCTTCCCCCCGACTCATTCAACTACTTGCTAGCCACAGAGCACTCTTTATATCTCAGAGCATCTTAGCATTGGAAAGTGGCTCCCATCTTCTCAGGAAGACTCAGATGAGATAAACTGACACTTTCGGTCCATTTTATGATAAATTTACTTTATAACATCCTCTATAAAATCAATATCTTTGTATCATCCTCCGTTTTATTACCGGTGGTTTTTCCTCTTTCTGTCAGTGTATGGATATGATTCTTGGCTGAAATAGAAAGAAGTAGGGAAAATAAATCAACAAAAAGGAAAAGAAAAGCATCATGCATTGGCCACCAAAGAATGGAAATAACAGTCGTTGAGTAACTATTTGATTCCTGGCATTTTACACATCTGATTTGCAAATTAGTATCATACCTAAAAGACTGACTATTAATTCCACATACCTTGTATCATACCTAAAAGACTGACTATTAATTCCACATTTTTCAGATAAGGAAACTGAAACTTAGAGAAGTCAAGAAACTTACTTCAAGTCGCACAGCTAAGCAGTGGTAGAACCAAGTCTTTCCACTTCACCATCTACATCCAACCATTGTGCTTTGCAATTAAAATCAGAAAACAGGATCATTGAGATTAAAGCTTGACACACTATCCTAAGGATCCCACAGGACTGCTTAGCTCAGGAGGACTGACGGTGCAGTACTAAAAAAAAATCCTGATTGTGAGTTCAGTTGAGCCTCAACCCTGCCTTGAGTGCAAGACGGAAGCAGATGGAAGAGAGTTGAAATATCAACAAAAATCCTTACCAAGAGAAAAAGCTGGGAGATCAAATAGGAGGAGTGATGTAGTCGTGTAGACAGTGCCTGGAAGGGTTAATTAACACAGGAAATTCTCTGTCACTCTGGTGGCTTTCCTAAGCTAGCTGGGTGAAGAGATCCTAGTCCAGGAAGCCACCGGGCCAGTTCAGTAGCCATCCTCTCAGCTGCTGAAGCTGGCAGAGAGATAGGGCTGGAGGGACCTTCACTAATTGGAAACTTCCATTTCTTTCTCACAAAGAGCTAGCCAAACACCGGTTACTTGCATTGTAAGAGAAAGAAGAATGGAGAGTTTCAAAGCTTGCCTTTTTAATTCTCATTTGCCTCGTTTGCATTTGAACAGATTATTCTATCTGCTTTCATTACAGTATAATACAGTGTAATCAACCTGCTAGGAAGTAAAAGTCTAACCGTTTTATGGTTTGTTATATTGAAATTTAAATTTGCATAATAAACAGAAAAGGCATTAGCATGTGTACCTATTCATCAACTATGGATTATAAAACACCTCTCTAGTTGAGCCCAAACAGCAAGCCATTCTGATTGAACTGCTTAATTAAATAAAAGATAATTAACAACATTCCTTTATACTCTGTTTACTTTAGTCGTTCAAAATTAAAACACAAAGACATTCAGAAACTTTACCAAATTATCCTCATAACTGTTTCGCAAGCATATCTCTGAAAATGATAGATTGACTCTTTGGAAAAACTGCACTCTAAAATAACCTCTCTATAAATAAAGCAAAGCAATAAAGTAAATAGTACCTGAACTCAGATTCAATTTTTTCATTTTAATTTCATTCAAAACTTCATCACTAGTGAGGGAGTCCAAGTCCTGCTTTGTGGATTTGTACCGTGCAAATAAAGGAGAACATGCAGCAAACCACATCCTCTAAATACAAACAGTCTTTGTAAATCAATGGTGAGCTAACTTAATCTGGTACTTCTAACCTACACCACAAACACAAAAAAAATCCTTCTGTACCCAACTGAAACCTATTTTTTTAAAAAAAACAATTACAGAGCACTGAGTGGGCTTATCTTAACCTCTTTCATCTCTCATAGTATTGACTACAGGCTTAGATCTCCTTGACCTGAGTGAACCCGTCTCTCAAACCCAAACCAAAGCCAAAAAGTTGGAGGCCTCATCAAAAACTTCATCACTCAAGAAAAAGGCTGATGGATCTGACCTCATCGGTGCGGATGCTGAGCAAAGGGGCCAGACACTCCGAGGCCCGGAGACATCATCCTTAGATTTAGGTGAGGCAATAGCTAGTGTCCGCTGCTGCTCACCCTTGCCTAGATATAACAAGGAGGTTCCACAAATGACATTAAAACCATGGGCAAAGGAGTAGAAAATATCAATTCCATGTGGGAAACTAGGCAGGACACACTTCTTTTGTGTTTGGATTAAATGGCAGTTGTGGAGCTCAGCTTTGCATAACTAATGTGGATTTGTTCATTTATTTATTTAACCCACAGGTCATGTGTTCTTGATAGATGGCAGGCACCATATTAGGCACTGGAATTACAAGTAAAAATTAGACATAAATCTTGCTCTCTAGGAGCATTTGGTGTAGAGGGGGAGAGAGAAAGAGAGGGAGGGAGAGAGAGAGCACACAAACAACTCTAACACAAGGCTCAGGAACAACCAGAACAGGAATAAGTAAGATGCATGGAGATACGTCCCATACAATAATATCAGCTACCATTCATTGATGGATTACTATGTCTAGGACTGTGCTACATTATTTACATATATTGGCCCATAAATTCCCCACAACTCTTTGAAATATGTGAGGAACCAGGTTTTCAATTTAAATGGTTTGCCCAAGATCTCAGTGCGAGGAAGTGCTGGAATTTGAGGCTAGCTCTAATTAACTTCAAAGCCCTTATTTTTATCCACTTTATATCTTCGTGAGAAAGAAAAGCTTAATCTCAGCTTATGGAACCAGTCAAATTAAGCTCTCCTTTTTCAGGACAAATAAAGGTAGAGATATTTTAGAAAGCAGAGGGAACATGTATCATCCAGGCTGTGACTGTCTAGTGTGTATGCGTATATGTATGTGTGTATATTTATACATAAAATTAGCATATTATTACCTCATTCATAAGGTTGTGAAGATTGAAAGGGATATATATTTGAAATTGCTTAGCCTGTAATATGCATATGTTAGATGATCATGAATTAATGCATTGATTTCTTCTATAAACATTTCTCCGAATACCTAAGTGCGTTCTATACCATGTGCTAGGAATACAAAGATAAGTAATATCGGCTATCTGTCTTACTTAAGTTACATACTCTCTCTTAGTAAGTTTGCAATCCAGTGGGTAGATAGAAAAATGATTAAGTGATTATAATAAAATATGCACTACTGTAGCCTCCCGTATCTGCAGTTTTGCTTTCCAAGATTTCAGTTACCTGTGGTCAACTACGGTCTGAAAATATTAAATGGAAAATTCCAGAAATAAACAATTTATAAGTTTTAAATGCTGTTCTGTTCTGAGTAGCATGATGAAATCTCAAGCTGTCCTGCTCCATTCCTCTCAGGATGTGAATCATCCCTTGTCCAGTGTCTCCACACTGTATATGCTTCCCACCTATTAGTCACTTAGTAGTTCTCTCAGCTGTCAGATTGACTGTTGCAGTATCACAGTGCTTGTGTTCAAATAACCTTTATTTTACTTAAGAATGGCCCCAAAGCACAAGAATAGTGATGCTGCAATTTAGATATGCCAAAAAAAAAAATCCATAAAGTTCATGTAAGTGAAAAGTTGAAAGTTCTAAACTTAAGGAAAGAAAAAAAAAATCCTATGCTGAGATTGCTAAAACCTGTGATAAGAAAAAATCTTCTATCCATGAAATTGCCTAATTTTTAAATTAAACACTATTATAAGTGTGTATGTATACGGGAAAAAATAATATATATAGGGTTCAATACTACACACAGTATGAGGCATCCACAGGGACTCTTGCAGATAAGGAGGGACTACTGTACTGTATGTGCTGAATAAAGGGAAGCCAGGTGAGTTACTACAAGAGCACCTTCACAGAGCCCCTGGCCCATCCAGGGGGTTGTAGATGGTGTCTTATAGGAGGTGCTATGTGAGCCCAGTCTTGTGGGATGAGTAGGAATTTGACAACTGAAAAATATGGATCAGAGAAACATGGGAAGAAAGGGGCAGGGCATTTCCGATGCAGAAGAGAAAAGGATCACACACAAATAGACAAACACAAAACGATGTCTTTTCAAGCAAATGCAAGTATTGCAATAATATTCAAGTAGTGAGAAATAAGTCTGAGAGTCACTAGGGGTCAGATAATTGGAGTTTGGGGATGCCACACCCTTAAGTTTTGGAAGAAGGCAGGGTTGAAGGGTTATACACATAAAAGTGACATCAACAGACTCTATTTTAGAAAAATTCTTTCTGGTGGATATATAGAGAAAGATATGGAGGCAGAGAGACCAGTACAGACATCTAAAATAGTGACAGTGGAGATAATGATAAGGAGACAAATTCAGAAAAAATTAAAACAGGATTTGTGGCCTGAGTACATGTGTGTATACCAATAAGGAAGACATATAGAATGTGCCAAACTCTGTGATGAGGAAGGAGTGAAAGAGGAAGTCAAAGTAGAAACTCTTGAGTTCAGTTTTGAACCTATTATATTTGAGAAAACTGTGAGACTTCTCTGTGGAGATGTCCAGTAGACTGTTAAATGATCTAGATAGAACACGGGAAAAATTGCTGAGCAGGAAACGGAGATTTGAAAGTCTGAAGCCTATGAATGAATATCGCAGTCATGGGTGTAGATGAGGTCATCCAAGGATAAAGAACGGAAAGAGAACCCATACATATTTCAAACCACTTGCATATACAGGATCCTCTCTTCCCTGCCCTATTTCTCTTTGAGGTCTGTCTCTTTGGAGGAAAACTTTATAACTATCTTCAATACTTCCTCATCATCAACGTGTTCTAGGTTCATTCAATTGCATGAAAGAATGAATGAAGTTTATACATTTGTATAAGGATATATTATTAAATACGTTAAAATAAAACACAATATACATGTAAATGAAATGGTAATGTCTCTGCTTTTGAGAAAATGTCCTATGTAAGAGGTCATAAAAATATTTAATTTAAAGAAATTTGAAGGACTCAGATTGCAAACCTATTTTTTATAAATGAAAAAAAACTGGACTCCAAGATTGTTTAAATGGTTTATTTACAATCACACACTTGTTAACAAGAGAGAATGCAGCCATGTTCTTTATCTGTAAAAATTAAGCCACGGGAAGAAAATTGTTCTAGCATTCTCTTAGCTTTTTTATTGCCTCCTTTCAATCTCTATGCCCATTATCAATTCCCTCCTTTGGTGAGGAATTAAACAGTCTATATAAAAACTGTGAAATGTGCTCTAGTTTCTTCTCACCTTTTATAGCAAGGCTTATCTCTTTAAACAGAATTTCTTTCTAGAAACATGCCACTGCCTTAGCTTGAGGCCAATAGGGTTGTACTCTACATGCTCATTCCAGTGGGATTCCATGGACTCATACAGAATTTAGAATGCACATATAGCTCTTGAAATAAATTCAGGTAAAATAACTTGATAGTTTAACTGTAAAAGCAATCTAATTTCTCTTAATAGGTCTCATTTTTATTTAGCTGCACATGTTTTAACTTTCATGTGACCTTAAAAAATTGGTCTTGGGGTTTAAAAACATTGGTTGAGCAATATTTACTTTTATAACATTTCTCAATCTTAATCAATCTCTCTAATTCTCTCTTGCACCTCATATTCTCCTTGTCTCCCTTGCCCCCTTCCTGTCTTCTTACTAGATATTCAAACACAACTGGAAAAATGGGATGATGTTAAGTTTCATGGAGATCGAAATAGCAAGAGTCATCCAATGGCAGAGAGAAAATCATGTTCATCTAGAACTGGATCGAAAGAACTCTTATGGTAAGATATTTTAATATGAGAATATAGCCATATCTGTGTTAACCGTATGGGTTTTTCTCTCATGTACTGAACTAGCCAGTGACTTAAGTCAATCCAGATACTTGGTATACTGTATAACTCCCTATATATCAATGTTAATTATTGTTGCTTCTAAAACTAAATTATTTCATCTAAATTGTCAAAAAAAAAAAAACCCAGCCAGTAAGGATTCTGGTAGATTCATAATTCAATACTTAATGTTTGTTGATAATTTTCTGAATGTGTAATTAAGCTGATCAAAGTAGGTATACACATGCGTTTATGTATTGTGTATTCAATATATTAATGAATGATAGTTAAAGTAAATGTTTCTGGTTATGCAAGTAAATTTTTCTGCCTTTCTTAATCATCACTGTCAGATAATGCTCTATTTAAGGGTAATCTATGTATGCTCACTAGAAAAGTTGGCCCCCTGAATTTTACCATGTCTTTAAAGCTTCCTAAAGAACATGTTTTATTCTCCTATTGCCCCCTTACATCTGTATTTATGACATTTTATATTCTGTATAAAGATCAAATCATACCTGAGACACTTTGTGAGAAGATCCTCTGCCCCAAAATAATACATTTTAATAAAGCAGAATTTTCTGTAACAAAAATGGTATTGCATTTATTTACTTTTCGCACATAATTGAACTGAATTCTAAATCATTCAGAGAAAATAACACCTAGCGCATTTCAGCCACTTAAATTCCAAACATGATCATTATAATAAAAACATATAAAAGTTATCTTTTTATCAAAATTCTGGTGAGAGCTTTGTTATCCTGTCTCTCCATGATCCAAATGAATTATGTTTCTTGGCTGGGTTTCTAGATGAATTTGTTTCTTGATGTAAATTAGTTTCCTTCCTTCATCTCTTACAGGTCCTCAGAGCACAGATCTCAGCCAGAACTGAGTGGTGGGAAAAGCGCCCTAAACTCCGAGTCAGCTTCAGAGTTGGAATTAGTGCCTCCAACACAGGTAAGAAATCCAGTTCTTCGATGAACTCATCTTTTCTAATTGATAATTTATATCTGCAAATTTTTATTTAAATTTTCACAAAAAAGTTTGAAGTATTCTATTTTATATTTCATGTGCTTTTTTCCCAATTACAGTTGACATTCAATATTATTTTGTATTAATTTCAAGTGTACGGCATAGTGGTTATACATTTATATAATTTACAAAGTGATCCCTACCCCCGATTAGCCTAGTACCCACTTGGCACTATACATAGTTATTATAATATTGACTATATTCCCTACGCTGTATTTAACATCTCTATGACTATTTTATAACTACCAATTCGTACTTCTTAATCCCTTCACCTTTTGACCCAGCATCTAATCCCCCTCCCATCTGGCAACCGTCAGTTTATTCTCTGTATCTATGAGTCTGTTTCTATTTTATTTGTTTTGTTTGTTCTTTAGATTCCACATATAAGTGAGATCATATGGCATTTGTCTTACTCTCTCTGACTTATTTCACTCAGCACAGTACCCTATAGGTCCATCCATGTTGTTGCAGAGGATAAGGTTTGATTCCTTTTTATGGCTAAGTAATATTCCATTATGTATATGTATCACCTCTTCTTTATCCATTCACCTATTGATAGACACCCAAGTTGCCTCCATATCTTAGCTATTGTAAACAATGCTGCAATGAACATATGGATCACACGTCCCTTCAAAGTAGTGTTTTAGATTTCTTAAGATTAATATCCAGAAGTGAGATTAATGAATCCTTCTTTGTCTCTTGTTATAGCCTTTGTTTCAAAGTCTATTTTGTCTGGTATAGTATTGCTATCCCAGATTGTTTTCTAAATTTCCATTTTCATAAAATATCTTTTCCATACCTTTACTTTCAGTCTGTGCGTGTCTTTCGATCTGAAGTCTCTTGTAGACAGCATATGTAAGGGTCTTATTTTCTTATCCATTCACCAACAGTGTTATTCAGTTGTTTCAAAGGGGTTCAGAACAGGCCTCTCCAAGATGTGGCTAGAAATCTGTTAATGAATTCACTGTGTGCTTAGCACTTTTTCCTTGTTCTACTATTTATTGTACCATCATTTTACAACATAAATTCTGTACTACTCCATTAGTAGCACTATTGATATAACAACACAAAGAAGAGAAAATTACATCTTGAATGTTCATTCACAACTATATTTTGTGATACAAGGTATTTACACATCAGGATCTTGACTGTCATATGAAAAGAAATTTCATGCTAAGGAACAAATAATTATAGTATTAGCAATAATGATAATAGTAGGAGTTACCATTTGTTAGTACCCACTAAGTATTAGAGACTTAACTATGTGCTTTTCATTATAGCTAATACTACAATAATCCTGTGAATTATTATTAGCCTCACTTTAAATATTTTTAAAGGGTCTCAATGAAGTCAAAATTCTTTTTCTGGAAACCCAGCTAACCACTGGTGGAAGGAGAGCGTGAACCAGTCCTGTGTGTCCACTACTTGACTCCACTCCAGTGTAACCAGCTTGTCAATAATTGGTTATCCCCATGGTTAAGAATGTGCCAAGTTCACTTCATAAGTTATATAAATGAAGAATCACTATGTTGTACACCTGGAACTAATGTGATATTGTATGCCAACTATAATCGAAAAATTAAAAATATTAAAAAAAAAATGTGCCAAGAAGGCCAAATTTAGCCTCAATCTTTTCATTCACTCAAATACTGTACAAGAGTACGGCTGGGATCTAAAACCACAAAGATCTCTTAAGAAATGTGTCAATATTTATGCACTCTACAATCTAGCTGAAAATATGTGGAATGAAGTTTGCTAGATAAGATATTGAAACTAACAGGGGAGATATATTGTCTGAGGTGAAATAAAGGGATAATTATGATAATAGCAAATATTACTGAATGCTCTATGCATTAAATTAGGTCATTAATCCCATTTTATACATAGGGAAACTAGTGAAGCACAGTGAGGTTAAGAAAATTGTCTATGTACCCACAACCAGTAAGTGGCAGGGAGAAGAAGGAGAGATATAAAGGAAATGGAAGGCCTTCAGAAACCTTTCTAGGCCACTAATAGCATCCGCACACACATCTTACACTCCACAAGAGAAGAGTGGACATTACCGCTCCCAGAACTCTGCTGGAAAACAGGTCAACTAACATCCAGAACAAATAACCCTGGGAAGCTTAATGAATTGTAAATGTAGCATGAAAATGTTCTTTTCTCCTCTGTGTTCATTCTAAATGTATCTTTTTAAAAAGCAAATTGATAACATTTATTAGAGAAATATTTCTTGATAAGTGCATTAGAAATTTGGACTTGACCAAAGTAATTGGTACTGTTTCATAAACTGGAATCCTTGAAACACTTTTATGTAGCAATAAAACGTTTGGGCAACAGGGAGAGACTTGGCACAGGTAGGCTGTTCTACATGGAGCCAGAGGAGGCAGAGGATCTGCTGGGGTCCTTGGTTGCCGTGGAGACCCACAATGCATGTATCTTATTATTCTAATGATTGCTACTCTCCTGCTGGTTGTCTGATTTCATCCCACCATTTTGTCCTACCACTTACCCACCCCTGTGCCATTAAGCAAACACAATGTGCTTTGGAAAATTTGTGTGAAATTCCTGATATTGTCCTCCAGAGCATAATTTAAAATGCACTGTGATAGTTCTCTGTCTAGATAAATAGTAGTGAATCCTTTCAGAGGGTTACTGATTATTTGCAAAGAATTTATCCCTTAATTTGTCTTTTTTAAAAAACTGCCTATTTACTTATCAAGATTTGCCTAAACTAAGAAAATTCATAACCACCTAATTTTAATTCCAGTTTATAGTTAAATTAGGAAAATTTCATGAATTTGGAATTTAATCATCTGAAATATTAAGTCACTCAAATGGAGCAGAAGAGAATAGACTGATTAATCGACTTGTAGTAAAAGACAGATGTTTTCACTGTTAGAAGCATACTGCTCTTAAATATATGATCTCTTTACATAGAGATAATATCAAAAGTAGTATAAAAATTAACTTGAAACTGACTTGCGAACTATTCAAGTAAACGATTTTAGCTCACCACTGTCACTTAGATGGTTCACAGGAAAATCCAAGAAATGTTTTCTTTTTGAAGCCAACACAAATTATCATAGGCTGAACAAGTAAGGAGCTATTTGCAAGCCTTGTTTAAAAATCATATTTCAGAATCACAAAGAAAATGAAAGTTCACAATGAGAAGAATTCTTATGTTAGCTCATTATCTTTTCAAAATGGGGAAAAGGAAAACAGTCTAGTCTCTTCCAAACAGTGTTTCGAATATACTAATCAGAGTGGCAAGAAAATAATAAATCATGTACTCTCTACATATTTAAGAATAAAGTTTCTTCACACTTAATCAAACTGCATAATTAGTATTCTCTGGCATTAATTATTTAAAGAAATCATGCAATCTGAAAAATTAGATACCATTTGAAAAACTAAAAAAAAACACAGAAGGTAATGATGTGAAATTAGCTTTTTCCATATATGGGTTGAGATAGTGGTGAGGCAAAAGAAAAAGAATCCACCTTCTGCTAGTCTGGACACTGGAAGGAGTCCAAGGCAGGCTCTCGCCAACCTAAGTTGGACTTCACAAGAACGTGCGGCAGCCAGACTCTCTAACTTTTAGTTGCAATCAGGTAACTCTGATTTTGCTGACTTTGGCACAGCAAATGCTTTCTTCCACATAGTCATAATTCCATCAAGTTCACAGTATCTCAAACCACAACAATCTAAACATTAAGATAAAAGTTCAGATACGTTTTCTAAATTTTAAAGAAGTCACATAAAAAGGAAATACATGTTAATAGCTGTGATTTATTACATATTTTGTGTATAATATGAGACATTTCTAATATATTATTTGAAATGCTTACAATAATCTTGGGAATCAATAGTATCCCCATTTCTCAGGTGCAAAATGCATCTTAGAGAGCAGAAGTAATTTTCCCAAGGTGACATCAGCTGAGGAGAGGAGCTAGCATTCAAATCATACCCATTGGCTTCTAAAGCCCTTATTCTTAACCACACCCCACCTCATATCAGCCACATCGAGTTTATCTACCTAGAGAACTCACAAACCATCTGTTTCCCTTCTCATTGCAAGTCTTGATTATTACTTATATTTATAGGATTAATATTAGTTAAGTGATTTTAAAGAATATTTATCACTTTGTGTCTACGGCCATGCCACCCTGAATGTGCCCAAACTTGTCTGATCTCGGAAGCAAAGCAGAGTTGGGCCTGGTTAGTACTTGAATGGGAGACCACCTAGGAATACCAGGTGCTTTGTAATCACTTTGTAATAAAGTTCCAGAAACTGTGTAAGATAAATTAGGATTGTCATCTGATCTGAAGATATACACAAGTTTTTGCCCGCTCTGCCAAATTTATTCTCAATCTCATCTTAGAATGTTGATGGCTTCCATTTCAATCTATTTCAATTCAACAAATGTGGTTAAATGTCTACTATCCATAAAGTCATAGTGAGGCAGTGAAAAAGTTAGAAGAGAAGTTTGACTATAAGAAGTATCAAGACCTTTATGTCTAAAAGAAACAGTAAGATAGTACACTATAAATCCAGTTTTGCTTATTGGAAGACAGTACAGGAGCCACATCAACATTCCTTTTCCCTTCCTGAACATATATAGTGAGCCACAAATTAGGAAGGAAGCAAGCAAAGATGGAAGAAGGAAGTAAGCAAAGAAGGTAGAAAGTCAAGGATAGCAGGAAGCCAAAAAAAAAAAAAGGCAAGAATACCGAAAGATCATTTTCAGCGTAGTAGGAAATTTGCACATAGTAGGCGCTCAACAAATACTTGTCAAAGTGAAAAAAATAAGAGAATGGTAACCAAAAGGAGAAACAATGCTTGCCAAGTTTAAAAATTTGAAAGTAGCAGCTAATTGTTAAAGGGTAAAAAAAAATAAAAATAAAAAGACTAAGTTTTATTC